GAATTTCTTCGTTTTAGTTCGATTTTTTAATTATTTCTGTTTCTAAATAATTTGTTCATTTCTTTTGGTAGCAAAAGAAAAGAGATGAAGAAAATGTGCTTCTATGTCTGTCCATAGACATATTAGAGCTCTACCATTTAGTGCTTTTTCTTTATCTCACATTCGACAAGATATGGTCAATAAGAAAGAATAAGAGAAGAAAAGGAAAGAAAAAATACCTGTGGGATATGAGAATAGCTCAACCTTTCTAGACAGTCCTCAGAAGCGTGAAACTTTGCTTTATCAATGATACATAGATCAAGCAGATAAGGATACAGATTGAAGCTGTGTTCGTATCTAATATTAGCGATTTTTTGGAAGATCATAACTCGATCAAACCGGTCATCAGCGTTTCTGCTGAGATTTTTCAGAGTGAAACGATCCACATTGTCCAGCATATCAGAGTGGATTTTTAACTATGGATTTTTACACTTTACTATAGTTTCAAAATCAGGTTTACAGAATAAAGGCGGTCGGTTGAATTGATTTAATGAAATCAATAGCAGGACGAAACGAACAAATTATTTAGAAACAGAAATAATTAAAAAATCGAACTAAAACGAAGAAATTTCATCCGATTTTCTTCCAAGAATTAATTTTCATATTTTGTTTTATTTGCTCATTGCTGTCTTCATCAGAAATCATGATTCATACCGTGACTTTCAGAAATTTTTACTTTTTAATCGGAAACTTATGATTTACAGCGCGAAATGCTAAATTCTTTCTTGAATGAGAAATGTGTAAGCCATGTCATGAATCTTGTTTAAGAATCACGTCACGAGTGCACTAAATGAGTTTAGGTAATATTGCGGAAAAATGGTCTTATTTCGAAAGAATACTGACTGCTAGATGAAAACTGAAAGAAAAAGTGTTTTTATCAGGTTGATTGTACAACAGTAGACGTATATTTAGAGTGTTTAACCTTTGATGACATTGGTGATTTGACTGCTACCACTATAAGTAGTATCCCAGATTACTATGGTTTTCTAATGAAATGGGTAAACGCATGGTATTTTAACGCTGCTCGAAGTTACGCTGTATCTCCAGTGTGGCTTGGTGCCTTTTCGGCACTCCAGAATGGTCAATATGTTACATACAATTCACCGAATACAACGATGAGCATTTATGGTGTTAATGGTAGCACATTTAATGTCTACTCATTCGTAGCAGCATCCTATTTTTATGAAAATCAAACGTTGTACATTACAGCGTATAGATCGAATCAAGTAATTTACAGCACAACCCTTATTTTGAGAGTTGTGACATCAACACTTGTTACTCTCAATTGGAGTGGTATTGATAACATTACATTCCACTCAAACGGGGGTGTTCAACATTTTGCTGGTGTCACTAGTTATTCATTTGCCATGGATAACTTCTGCCTTTCATTTTAATTTTCAAACAAAAATATATAGAGTAACTCAGCTTTAGCAGATTTGATCCAACGTGCAAATACCAAGACTAACTTTTAAAGAAAAAAAGCTACTGAAGTTCAAAGAGTTCACACATTGTATTTTTGTTTCGAACAACATGTAGCAGTGCCTAAACTATCCTATTGCTATGGTGCGACATAAAAACTTCTGTATATTATGAGTTTAATGGAACATCCGAGTCCAGTCAGTCTCTTAAAACCAAAAGTATCTGTAATGGGAATCAGTATCCTAAAAGCCAAAAAAGGTTTTTGAATAAAAACTATATGGCTATAGGTAATCCATGGTGCTGATTCGAAATATCATAGTGGAAGTCGCCCTTAGAGCTTCGGGGACCTAGTTTTCCAGCAGATAATATTCTTTTTTATCAATTTATCAAATGCCTTTCTGATTCGTCGAGGTAGTAGAGCATGCCGATTTGCCTATGTAAATAAGCTTTAACACACCTATTAGACATTTCATGACAGCGCTATTAATTTTTCAAAGTCTATCGTTATCGAAGAAAAGTGAATACAGCCTAAATATACTTTGATAGCACTTCCAGTTACTGTTCAAACTTGTGAAATTGGCACAACTAGTTTCCATCTACCTGTATTAGCGGTTTTATCATACGAGAGAACGGAGCTGAGTTTAGGTACTAAAGTTCATTGAAAAGTTCATAACTATTTTTGTTGCTTGTTGCTGATTTTTGCAAAGAGCATTGGAGGATCTCATCGGTTGAAGATGAATATTCTCATTTCGCATATTCCCGATTATTGTGCTTGTCAAAATTTTACGGATCTTCAATGCGTCCAGTTTGTATCTGGTCATCACTAAATCGATATGTATGGATAAAGGCGTCTGAACAATCCATTCGTTGTCTATCATAATGAAAAGCGAATTCAACGTTAAGATTACCACCGAGATTAGCCATTAAAAATTCGTGAACTTCTGCCCAAGATGAATTACTACGTAATGTAACAATATTGGCAACCATAAGTGAAGTGAAATGAAAGAATATTTTAATGAAGAACAAAAAAGTCAGAAAGCTGTCCTATACAATAATATATCTAGAAATAACATTTTTTAAATCAAGAAATTAAAAAAGGGGAACTCTATACGCGTTTTGATGTGTATATCGTACAAAACTAACTTTCTTAATTTCCGTTTCTTTTTCTTGATACATTCAAACATTACCTAATTGACTTTACGTTATAGAAACTGTAACGCTTACTTCGACTATCTCTATATTCCTCTGTTCATATTACGACTTTGTGAGAAAAAATTGTATTCATGACTTCCCGATCCTTCTTATCTATTAGTAACAGCATGACCGGTATAATCAGTGTGATTACCCATTGTATTTTAAATCCACGTTCGACTCCCCTGGGTGGATCTGAACCTAAAAAGTTAATAACGGTTAATTAAATAGAAATTATTCTGCAAATTTTTTATGATGTATCCTTGGATATTTATACCTTTCAACTATATTAAAATCTTACAAAAGTATGATATTTAAGTCCATTATTTAAAAACACGATAAATGTCAGTTTTTTGTTATTATTGCCATAAAATTATGATAATGCATGTGTTTTAAAATTCCTAAGTAACAAAATAAATAAAAATAGCTTATACCAATAAAATAAATGATTTATAAAAAGATAAGATTTTATTTAACTAAAAAAATTACATTTTTAGGTCTATTAAAGTTCATGTGTAGTTCTTTGAATGTGAACTTTATTTTATGCCAACGGTAGCCGTATTGTCTAAAGTAATGAAAAGTATTTTAAAGGTAACGCTCATAGATTAATTTTATTCTCTGAAAGTAAATAGTTGGATTTATAGAGTAATATTACGTTTAGTCGGTTTACACAAGACATGACTAAACAGCATAGGCAAATCGCAAAGCATAGTACCCAACTACCTTAAGAAATAATATTATTGCTAGGCTTTAATCATGTTTTAACAAGTACTTAATATATGTCTTTTATATTGCGTTTACTGTTCTATACGCTTAAAATTAAATATGTATGATCAACGGGGTTCCTATTCTTGTTTTTATTACATACATCATAGTATCATTCCGCAATATACTATTATCATTGTATAAACGTTAGCTTTAAAATCCTTTTATTACTTCAGACAATACGAACACCATTGGTAAATAAATAAAGTTACTCCACAGTCCCTCGGCGAGGTTGTTGAAAAACATTTTCTCATAACAGAAGTAAGATGTTTTTAATACGTGACGAATGAGAGTAGCATGTGTCAATGGAAACGCATCGGTTATATGTTTTTCCGAGCAACCGGCAAACAGCTGCAATAGATCCCGTTTGTGGCATCATTGTATCGAGATCTGTGATGTCAAATGTGCATAGTCTCTAAATAACTTCAAAGGCACATTGTCTGGTGCAATTTTTGTCGCTGATTCCAAATATTACCTTATTTCTGTTTTAGAATGAAGTCTTGATGCCAAAAATCTCAAAAAATTGAAAAAAACGATGTCAGTCGACCGTCTTGTTTTCAACTTTTCAAAGTGAGAGGTTCTAAAACAAAGTTGTTTAGCTCAGTTTGTAGAAAATTGAATTTCCTACTTGATGTCACCTTTATATTTCTAGGAAAATTCTGGTTGGATGCTCAGAAGTGGGTTTTGGTAGAAAAAGTTGTATGTAAAAATCATAATCCTTCACTTGATGAACCTCTTACAACATCACTATTGCGTTTAGAAAAAGAGAAGGTACTTGATTTTGTTTAAATTTTGATGGTCTTTCGAATGAGACATTGCTCGACCAGAACGGATAAAGAATGATGGAGTTATATCGAAAATATGAGACAGTGCTCTTTTTTGCGATTCGTCGATGCGCCTCATTTTGAAAACTCAAAATAAGAGAGAAGTCCAAATAAAGTCTGGAAGTGAACAATTTTTTTCGTCATCCCAGTTTTGATTGTAGAATCGGAAAATCAAATAAAAGTCATATGTCAAATTTCTGCACGTCACGCACTTTCTCGATGGATTGACGAATCCTGCCTTAAAGAAATAAATCTGAGAACCATCAGGTCCTTAGTAAGGTTCATATTTTGACGGACTCTCTCTTAAAAGTTTTTTAATGTATAACGTTAAATGTACGTGCAACATCACAATGAAAAAGATTAAAGAAATAAAAACAGAAAGGAAATGTATATTGTAACTGTCCACACGCAAAAAAAAGATCTGCTAAGTGAGAAGAAACCTTGAGTAACAAAGGCGGTTTGCTGTGCTAATTTTCTTTCATGGACAGCAACACCTACAAATATAATAGTTTTAGTTTTCTATCATGTTGTAAATGATACTTGGAAAGAAGGGCATGCACCGCAAACTTTCTGAAATTTTTTAAAAATATTGTGAGTCAGCTCTGAAGGTCACTATTATGGCTACCAAGCTTTTTGTCTTTTAGAATCTCTCTTGAGCAGAGATCAACATCATAAAACTGTTTCTTCTTTTCACATTCATTTACTAGAAATTAGAAAGTATAAATACACTACAATAATTGGTAAACAATCACAAGAAAAATTTTATATGGCCGCTCCACTAACACTAATAGCTGCTAGATGTTTCGAATTTTTACTCTGATCATCAGATCCAATATATCCTTTTCCTAATGTTCCATTTTCTGGATGTGTTTCTTTCAATTTATTAATCACATGTTCAATTCCTTCGAGTCCACGTTGTAGTTGTTCCAGTGGTGGTCCAAACGATAATCGTACATAATGATGACATGGCGAATTCATAAGATTTCGTCGATGTGATGGATTTACATCAAAGAAAACACCTGGCACCACAATGACTTTTTCTCTTAAACATTCTTCAAAGAACACTAAACCCGAATTCAATGGTTCAGGTAAATGACTTAAATTTAACCAAACATAGAATGTTCCTGAGGAAGCTTTTTGTTTAAAACCCATTTGATTAAGGCGGGAAATGACAAAATCACGTTTATGTTTGAAATGTTTTTGAAGAGCAGCACGGTCTTGTCGTGTTCGTGATGGGTCGAGAAGAGGCACAGCAGCCATTTGCAAAGGATGTGAAGCACCTCCGTCAAGATAGCCGCCACATTGATTAAGTGCTGCAATTAATTCACGTGGACCAACAACCCAGGCAATGCGCCATCCAGGTTTACGAAAACCTTTTGTTAGGCCATCGACAATAACTGTTGATTCAGCATTGATATCACGAATGTAAGAAGCTGCGGAAATAGCGTTGCCACTAGACGTCTGAAAACAATACATATATAAAACTAAATACCCATATATCACGAGAAAACATAATCGGCCGTTACACTCAGTGTCAGTCTTTCAAAGAGTTCCACTAGTAGGGTTTGCGTGAATCTAATGCAGCCATCTGACTATAATTAGTGATAAATATTTGAATTGTACTTTTGGCAACTTGAAAATTCATTTTATTAAAAATATGTATCTGAACCCTTTATTCGTAGAGTTTTCGAATTACGAACAATTCATCATCAGTTGAGAAAATTTTGAAAGTTTACGGGTTAACTGTCCGTCACTTCTATGCAATTTTCCTTGTCAAGTTTCAAAACTTTCTGCACTAATGATAAATCGTTCGTAATTCGAAAGCTCTACTAATTGAGTTTACAAATACATATTTCTCACAAAAAAAATTCACAAGCTATCAAAAGTATAACTCAGACATTATTGTGACAGTCCAGTGGTTAGGGTATAAGTCCATTACCAGCGAAGGAACTACCGTAAAAACCCTTTACGAATTAAATCTATGAAGAAACACGTCAATTTATCGATTAAACACCTTTTATAATCCTCTCATTCGATCACAAATTCGACGCGAGTTACGAATATTTATCTTAGCCAGAAAAGTGTCCTGTGGTGGGAAAACGGAAAATTAGGTTCCCAGTTAACATTAAAAATCGACAAACCTGCATCATCATATATCTAATTTGCTGAAAGTTTCAGCAATGGTTTCTGGTAGAACAAACTGTTAATAACCAGATAGGTGACCAGAGTTGCGAAGGCTACGGCATCAAAATGATCACATTGTTACCTTCTATGACCGACCAATCCACCTGGATCTGACGTAACCTATTTTTTAGAGAATTTGCTGCTTTATCTATCTGTTGCAAATGCTTCTCAGTGTTTCGAGCTGATTACTTGTGTGGGTGCTCAACCTTTTTGGTCCGGATCCGGTTTCGTAATCGTAATCCCGAAAAATATTGCTTGCCTTTTTTAGTAGTTATAAAAACCTTTTCTTCCTTGACGAAAAGTTCTCTAAAAAAACTTTGAAAGTACTGTTTAGAAAATTTCAGACTGTTTGAAATTTTTTAACATGTTTTTTTAGTCTTTTTGCAGCCTTTTTGAAAAAGTTTCTTAATAAGTGCCAATATTTTTCCTGTTACATTTGCTCACCTTTGAATCACCACGATCGGGGGTCTTAGCGTCATCATCGTTGTCATAAATATACCATGAATAAAATTCATCCAGTATCAATGTGCAATTCCCTTCTCGTCCCACCGACACTAATTCATCTAACTCTTGTCCTTTAATCACTACACCAGTTGGATTTCTAGGGTTACTCATTAACACTACCCTCAAACCACGTCCCCTAATTTCTTGCCTCAACCTGTCAACATGTAATTTATATTGTTTTTCCGAGTCTAAGTGTGTTGGTATTGGGACAATACGACGAAATATTGTTAACAATTGTTCATAAGCAGTATAATCAGGTAATTGATAACCAGTGTATGCATCTCCGATGACAGAAGCAATTCGTGTAAGTCCGGCACGTCCACCTGGGACAATACAAACATTTTCATAAGTAAATGGTTTTAATTCACTATTATCATTGCGAAAGGTGTCATTGTAATAAGTAGCAACAGCCTGACGTAGTTCTTTGACTCCAGTAGTAGGGGCGTATTCATGAATTTGATCACCATATTGCTGTAAATCAATTGATTTGAGTAATTCAGAACTTCCTATAACAAAAACTAAAATTGTGACTCCGCTTTTAATATGACGTATCTTGGAAGTCGATTTCTGGAAGCCCTTGCAGCACGAATCACCTCAAAATTCAAAATCAATCAAAAAATCACCTCATTTTTGACTTCATAGCTTTGTTCCCCTACCGTCCTTGCCGCACTATATTCACGTAGCTGATCTTATCAGTTATGTTTACTCTATCAGAAATCGTTTAACGAAACTTTTTCGAAATTCAATGTATGGTAAAACACCTTGATTTATTGATTTTCGGGATGGTCCCGATCCCGCAGGACTTTTACGGGATCGGGACCACACCTCATAGAACCGGAACCTAAAGATCTGCGAGACGGTTCCGGCTCTGCAGGATGTTCCCGGTCCCACGCGGCTTTTAATCGG